GGTGAACATGATGAGCCTTCTGATTTATCAACAAAAAAAAAAAAAATAAAAATAAATAAAATTTTATGGGCCTTCTTTGATGGGGAATTAAACCTCCAATTTAAATATGGTTTTTATTTTTAATATTAACTTAGAGATGGTCTCCTTTGTTGCATATTTTTACTAAATTTCAGGTGTCTTAAACCGTGCAGAGCAACTGAGGACCATGGGAAGCTAGCGACAATATACAAGTCGAAGAAGAGGAATGAGATGGTGGAAGAGGGATACTGGATTTTGGGCAACTCTGGAGACCAATGGAGCGATCTTTTGGGTTCATCAGTTTCCATCCGCTCGTTCAAGCTCCCAAATCCCATGTATTATATTCCCTAATTGGACAGGTTCCTATTAAGCTTTTCTAATCCCTTCTAGTTAAACAAATATTTGTACATTCAATTCATTGACTGAAGTTTGCAATTAATATATAAATTGTGCATAACTATACTTGATTTAAGTTTTTAATTAATACATAAATTGTGCATAATCTCTCTCTCTCTGTCTCTCTCTCTCTCTCTCTCTCTCTCTCTCTCTCTGGCAGTGGCTCATGAGATTAACTGTGAATAACTGTATCATATTATGCAGAATTAGATTGCTGTCTTCAACTAGGTAGATGCATGTATTCAATTTATCAATTGCTAGAAACTGGTCACTAGTTTCTAAATCAACATTTTGGGATATTATCGACGAAGTACATCAGCTTGGTCCACGGTTTGTCGCCCTATTAATTATGGAGGATTAGGCATTAAAACCTAACGATGCTTAACCAGCCTTACATGATGAAGTTGGGATGGCACTTATTGAGACATTCTGAATCTTTATGGGCTTTGATGTTTAAATCCAATTATTTCCCTAATGGCACTTTCATTTCGGCTAAATCTAAACTTTACCAATCATGCTTCACTTAAACTTTTCATACTCTTGGCAAATGTGGACAACTAGGAATAAAATGCTTCTTGAAAATCAACCTTTACACCTTCACAAGATATCATATGCTGCTAAGTTTGCACTCTCTATTCTGATGAACACTTTTAAAGTACACACTCTCGGTTAACAAACTCGGCACGGATGGTGCTTGTCAAGGTAACCCTGGTCAAGCAAGCATTGGTGGCATCTTCAGAGATAATACTGGTCACTGCATTTAAGCTTTCGAATATCCCATTGGTACAAGTAACAATACAGCTAAAATTTGGACTATTCAAGCTAACACCCAATGGTTAATTATAGAATCTAATTCATGGAAAACACTACACATCTTTGCAAGCGAAAAGCCAATAACTAAAAGATATGCCTTGCTTTTAGTTTTCAAGTCATTAAATCATATTCTTTATTGATGTTTGAACGCATGTCCTGCAATGTGCTTACCAGGAAATTGAAGAGGTGGATACGGATGAACATTATCGACCTAAATCTCCAATAGGAATCATCAATGTGACTCTGAAAGAGAAGGTTTGAAGGAGGTTTTATCAGTTTAAAGCTTCTTTCAATGGCATGGTTTCCCCATCTTAGATGCCAACGTGCTGATAATCACCAAGCAAGCAAGAGGTTTATGGGAAGTAAAGCATATCTTTTGCTCCTGTTCTGAGGTGTTTTCGTACAGGGAGCTACTGTTTTGTTAATAAAGTTTCATTTAGTTCTCCATTTCTCTATTTTTTTGTTTTCGCATAATGTCCATTTATCTTTTTTCTTTTTATTGGGACATGCAGGGGTATAAGTTCTTTTGGAGAGTCTTCTCAAAATTTTATTGTTTATTGTTTATTGAAATACTTGTATATTTTTTTGTTTTTCCTGTTTTAACAGATTTTAAATACCTCAAAAGGGTCAATAACAATCGAGTTATACAAAGAAGGCTCTCCTGAGGTGGTTGATGAATTTATTGACTTATGGTGGGTACTGGACTCAACTCTATTAGATTTCGATCCATTGTTGTGGATTCTTATTTTCATTGTTCACATGGCTGACCTTGTTGGTTTCCCAAATCCTTATTTACTTATTTGCTTACTGCACTTTTAATCAGAACAAACGACTCGGCCATTTCAACAGTCGAAATTCGCTCTGAATGATTCGACGGGATTGTCTTCTCTGTTAGAACGAACCCAAAGATCTCTTCATATCTCTCACGGTACGTAAATCTCTATCGTTCAATCCAAATCTTGGTCCTATGGTTCGATTTTGTTCATTTTTGTGTGTCAAGTACTGGGTCGATTGAATTATGTTGAGATCTTTAACATTTAAAACTTCAATTTTTTCTCAGTAACCAAGCAGGGTTTTTGTTTACTTTTCTATGTAATTTTTTGTTACTTCATAGCTGTCTAATCGATTGTTAGTATGAGGTTGTAGATCAAACTTCAAAAAAAAATCCCAAGTTTTTATTTTTCTCACTTATCTATGTATCTCTAACTTTGGACCCTCTTGAATTCTGGTTATTGTGTGTGTTTCTTATTCAAAGATACCAATGAAGTTCTATGAAAGTTCAGATTGGATCCAAAACCTGGCTGTTTGATTTATATGTTATGGAGTTCCTTTAAATGGTGTTTGGTTATATAGATTTGGAACTGAGTGCTGGATCCTGGGATTTTGTAGTCCTTGGGAGTTGAGGCTTATACATCATGGCAAGGATTAAACCTCAAGCTCTGCTACAACAAAGCAAGAAGAAGAAGGGTCCAAGTCGTATCGGTGCCACTACAGTTATTTTATACAGCTTAATTATAGTTGTGATGGTGTTTTTCCTGTTTGCTACTTACAGACATTGGATTCAGAGGTTCGTTGGAATCTTCTTTGATGAATTAATACTTGGTTATTTTGATAAAGTGGGATTCAGAGGGACTAGCATGACACCTTGTATCTTGTTAACCAAATTTAATTTTTAGTTTGATTATTATTTCATATGTTTTGAATCTTGTGGGTTTGGTGAAAGACCTGTATCGGTTTTCTTGGAATGATTTCTGAATTCTAAATTTAGCAACAACCTATGTATTTAATAAGTGATAAAAAGAATTTTAATTTAATCTTGGACCTGGTGCTTTCAAATATTTCAGGTCTGTTGCAGTGGTATCTACATTTGTTTAGTATCAAAATAGAACCACAGAAAATCCAACAATTGAATTGATGTTTCTTCACCCAATTCCCCAGTTGTTGTGGCGGCTTTGGTTGCTGAAGCAGAGCTTGTAACGCCCTCAAAATAATAACATTAAACCCACAAATTAAGACATTCATTGACATGCAAATATCCGTATTCTTCTATTAATCAGAATTAATCCTTACAAAAGTATTACATGTTAACAACAAAAGCAAATGCCCTACGGGCTTACAGCTTTCCAAGTTAACACTTGGTTACAACAAAAGAGTACTAACTCATTTACAATTTAAGCCCTTGGCTTGAAATTACATGTAATACATCAAAAGTAAAAACAACACAAAAGTCAAGTCCGCCTCATGCCTCCCAAGCTATGTCCTTGGAGGTGGCATGCTTCCTGTACCTGAAAATGATATTCCCATATAGGGTGAGCCACAGCCCAGTAGAAATATACTAACCAACCATGAACATGCACATAAAAATTAGCAATTGATAGATGCGCAACACAGATACAACCATATAAATCACATTATATGCCACC